GGGGCCCCTGGGGGGGCCCCTGGGGGGGCCCCTGGGGGGGCCCCTGGGGGGGCCCCTGGGGGGGCCCCCTTGGGGGGCCCCCTATTGAGGGTTTATTTGATTTGCGAACAGCCCTGTAAACCCGAGTTGACAATTCGGCTGCATGGTTTGGGATCGGAAGCTGTTGCGGCGGAAGAAATTAAGGTTCGGCGAGGGTTTAGGGTTTAGGGTTTAGGGTTTAGGGTTTAGGGTTTGGGGTTTGGGGTTTAGTAGGGTTTAGGGTTTAGGGTTTGTGGGGTTCGATTCAGCGCGTGCGCCCCTCCATAGAGCTGAAGACTGCAGCAGCGCAGCACCGGAGCCTCCGCTCCCAAGGCTCTAGGGTTTAGGGTTTAGGGTTTAGGGTTTAGGGTTTAGGGTTTGGGGTTTGCGCGCAGTGCTCCGGGGGCTCCCCCGATGAGGGTTTGGCTTGCGAGCCCGTTTACGGCGAAGCTGCTGCTGCTGCTGCTGCTGCTGCTGCTGCTGCTGCTGCTGCTGCTGCTGCTGCAGTTAATTATTTCTTTTTCCACTGCAGCAAAGAAAAAGGGTGTTTTAGGGGGCTGCAGCCTGCAGCAGACGACATCCTCCACATCGTAAACCCTAAACCCTAAACCCTAAACCCTAAACCCCAGGCTCTAGACCCTAAACGCTGACGCTGCACGCTAGAGGGGCCCACTGCGCCAGCCACTGCTTGCGAGGGTTTACGAGGGTTCAGGGTTTAGGGTTTAGGGTTTAGGGTTTAGGGTTTAGGGTTTGGGGTTTAATGGGGTGCACAGGGTCGCATTAGGGTTTAGCGGGGTTTATGAGGGTTTACGAGGGTTTAAAAGACTGAGGAGGGTTCACCAGGAGACACGAGGGTTTAGGAGGGTTTTGAGGAGTCCCCCGCCCCCCACTGCTTGCGAGGGTTTACGAGGGTTTAGGGTTTAGGGTTTAGGGTTTAGGGTTTGCGACGCAGACCCTCAGTGAAGACCCTCCCCAAACTCAAGAAAACACACAAGAGGCCTCTCCTTTCGAATTATTAATCTCTTGGGATTGCTGGCCCCACAGCCCCACAGAGGGGCCCCCCGGGGGCCCCCAGGGGGGCCCCCCAGCCCCCGGGGGCCCCCCAGGGGGGCCCCCCGGGGGCCCCCAAAGCTGCGAAACAATTCGTACCCAGGGCTATGCATTGGGGACGCATTATGTGTCGACAAGAGCTCGTGAGTTTTAATTTTTGTTTAATTTTTTATTTTCTTTTCTTCTTTTTTGATTTTATTGAAGTTTTAAAACTCCTTTTGAAGTCCTTTTTCCTCTCTTTCTCTTTTTCCTCCTTCAACAACTCCCGCTCCTCCCAGGGGCCCCCAGGGGCCCCCGGGGGGCCCCTGGGGGCCCCTAGGGGCCCCACTAGGGGCCCCCAGGGGGCCCCCCGGGGGCCCCTGGGGGCCCTTAGGGGCCCCACTGGGGGCCCCCGGGGGCCCCTGGGGGCCCCCTGGGGGCCCCCTGGGGGCCCCCTGAGGGCACTTTTGGTGCTGCGCTGCTTCTTCTTTTGTTGGTTTATTTTGGGAAATATTTAATTGATTAAATTTGTTTTAATTTTTGCTTTTTGTCATTCAAAAGTGGCATTTATTTATTTGAATTTCTTTTTTTTTTTTTCAATTTTCAGGAGACAACTCCGTGCTGCACATTGTGCTGCTGCTGCGGCACAGCAGCAGCAGCAGGAGCAGCAGCAGCAGCAGCAGCAGAAAGTTTGTCCTTAACTTGGGGGCCCCCGGGGCCCTCACGCCTTTGACCCTGGAGGAGCCTATAGACTTCATTCTCCCAGCCAGTAAACCCTAAACCCTAAACCCTAAACCCTAAACCCTAAACCCTAGAGGGGCGGGCATTCGGAAGCCACTGCTGCGTCGGACTAGAACATTCGCAAGCACTCCTCGTCTTGCGCTTTCCTAGGGTTTAGGGTTAAGGGTTTAGGGTTTAGGGTTTAGGGTTTAGGGTTGAGGGTTTTAGGTTTAGTGCCTAGGGTTGGGGTTTGGGGTTTAGGGTTTGGGGTTTAGGGTTTGAAGTTTAGGGTTTAGCTCGTAGGGCTTGGGGTTAGGATTTAGGGTTTAGGGTTTAGGGTTTAGGGTTTAGGGTTTAGGGTTTAGGGTTTGTGTTTGCTGCTGCAGACAGCACGCGGCGGTTTGTGTTTGAGTTGCCCGAAGGGCCTTTTGACCCCAAAGAACTTTGCCTGCCGCAGCTGCTGCAGCAGCAGCGAGCAGCAGCAGCAGCAGCAGCAGCAAATGAATTTATTCCTTTTCTTGTTGCTGCTGCTGCTATTGACGGGCCTCCCCCTGCCATTGCCTGCTGCCACGCCGACAACGAAATGCACCCCAACCCCGCTCTCGTAGGGTTTAGGGTTTAGGGTTTAGGGTTTAGGGTTTAGGGTTTAGGGGGCGGGGTTTAGGGTTTACGGGGAGGGTGGGGGCTTTCGGGCCGCTGCTGTAGCTCTCGAGGCTGCTGCTGCTGCCACTGCTGCTGCTGCTGCTGCTGCTGCTGCCACTGCTGCTGCTGCTGCTGCTGCTGCCCCTGCTGCAGTTGCTGCTGCTGCTGCTGCTGCTGCGACTGCTGCTGCTGCTGCGATGCCGGCGCCGCTGCTGGCGCTGCCGGCTCCTCGCCGCCGCCTCCCCACCCGCCGCTGCTGCCACCTCTGCTGCTGCTGCTGCTGCTGCTGCTGCTGCTGCTGCTGCTGCTGCTGCTGCTGCTGCAGTCTTCGAAGGAGCAGCCGCTGTGCTGGCGGTCGCAGGAAGCTGACAGCAGCGGCCTTGTTGCGCTGCGGGTGGGCAGTGACCCGCGGCGGCGCGTGGCTCCCTACGGGCGGTTCGTGTGTGCTGCTGCTGCTGCTGCTGCTGCTGCTGCTGCTGCTGCTGCGCTGGTGCGGCTGAGCGTGAGCAGCAGCAGCAGCAAACAAGACCCCCGCCACTTCCAGCTGCTGCAGCAGCAGCGCCTCAGCTTCTTCAATCTGCTGCCTTTCGCCAAGTCTTGTCCTTACGAAGCAGCAGCTGTACAGACAGCAGCAGATGGGGCCCCCCTGTTGGTTCAGCTGTACAGACAGCAGGGGCCCCTCCCCGAGGAGGTTTGTCTTTTTCCTTGCCAGCCCGCTGCCACTCCTTTGGCTTTTTGCAAGGTACTTTTAATTAATTTAATTACTTTAATTTATTTAATTAATTTAAATTAATTTTATTCATTTTATTCTTTTTATTCTGTTTGTTTTGCTGCTGCTTTTGACCCCTTTTGCTCGAGCTGCTGCTGCTGCTGCTGCTGCTGCTGCTGCGCTGGTGCGGCTGAGCGTGAGCAGCAGCAGCAGCAAACAAGACCCCCGCCACTTCCAGCTGCTGCAGCAGCAGCGCCTCAGCTTCTTCAATCTGCTGCCTTTCGCCAAGTCTTGTCCTTACGAAGCAGCAGCTGTACAGACAGCAGCAGATGGGGCCCCCCTGTTGGTTCAGCTGTACAGACAGCAGGGGCCCCTCCCCGAGGAGGTTTGTCTTTTTCCTTGCCAGCCCGCTGCCACTCCTTTGGCTTTTTGCAAGGTACTTTTAATTAATTTAATTACTTTAATTTATTTAATTAATTTAAATTAATTTTATTCATTTTATTCTTTTTATTCTGTTTGTTTTGCTGCTGCTTTTGACCCCTTTTGCTGCTCTGCAGCAGCGCTCCCTGCTGCGCGCTCTCTTTGCTGCTGCTGCTGCTGCTGCTGCTGCTGCTGCTGCTGCTGAGCCTGCGGCCGCTGCTCGCTGTTTTGCTGCTGCAGCAGCTCCGTGTTCTGCTGCTGTTGCTGCTTCTTATGTGCTGCTGCTGCATTTTGTTCTGCTGCTGCCGCTGCTGCTGCTCTTCGTGCTGCTGCTGCTGCTGCTGCTTCTCGTTCCTCCGCTACTTACTCTGCTGCTGCGCTGCTCGCTCCTCCCCCTCTGCTGCTCCTTGTGCTGCTGCTGCCGCGGCCCCTCACGCTGCTGCTGCTGCTGCTGCTGCTGCTGCTGCTGCTGCTGCTGCAGGAGCTGCCGCCCCCTGGCCCCGCGCCTGCAGGCTCGCTGTGTGTCCGCCGCAGCAGCAGCGAAGCTTCTGAATTGCTGCTGCCTCTTTTGTCTCCTCTTCCTTCTTTCTTTTATGCTCTTCGCTTCAAGACTCCAGAGGCCAGCTCCAGCCTGTCAGTCTGCTGCTGCTGCTGCTGCTGCTGCTGCTGCTGCTGCTAGTTTTGCTGCTGCTGCTGCTGCTAGTTTTGCTGCTGCTGCTGCTGCTGCTGCTGCTGCTGCTAGTTTTGTGCCGCTTCTGGATCTTGCGCTGCTGCGGTAAGTCCTGCGGCTGCTGCTGCTGCCGGCTTTTTCTCCTTTTCTTCCGTTGCTGCTGCTAGTTCTGCCGCTGCTGCTGCTGCTGCTGCTGCTGCTGCTGCTGCTGCTGCTTACTTGCTTGCAGACAGTGGTTAGAAGGACAGCAGCTTGAGCTGAGGCACTTGGCGGAACTGGAGAAATAAAATAAACAAAAGTTTTAAAATAAATTAAAATAAAATAAATAAATAAAATAAAATAAAATAAAAAGTTTAAAAAGATTTGGAGTTTTGTCTTTGCAGCTTCGCAGCAGCAGTTCGGCGAGTGGGTGCAGCAGATGTGCGGCTGTCTTCTGTGTCTTTGCGAAATGGAATTACTTTTGTTGTTTATTTAAAAAAAGATTTTGCTGCTTCAGCAGCAGCAGCAGCAGCAGCAGCAGCTCTCAGCAGCAACTTGCTGCAGATGGGGCCCCTCGCAGCAGCAGCGGCGCAGCAGCAGCAGCAGCAGCAGCAGCAGCAGCAGCAGCAGCCAGCGGGGGACTTTGAAGGCGAATTGGGGGGAGAATTCGAAAACAAACTGGAAGTTCCTCTCGAGGAAAGTGAGGGACTTTGGCAGATTTTAATAAACACAAAAAGCAAAAAGAAAAAAGTGAAAATTCAACTTCTGGCGAGTGTGGGGCCGCGGGGCCCCGCGGGCGTTGAGGTGTACGTACACCCCAGCTTCCAAACCCTGCAGCAGCAAACCCTCCACCTCGCCGAAGGAACTCCAGTGGCTTTTTCTCTTTCTCCAAACCCTCGAAACCCTCGCCACAGAAGGGTTTTCATTTTCCCCCTCGACTTCACTCTCCAGACAGGTGCGCTGCCGCGAGGGTTTAGGGTTTGGCGAGGGTTTAGGGTTTTACGAGGGTTTAGGGTTTAACGAGGGTTTGGGGCTTGCAGGGGGTTGGGGTTTGCAGAGGGTTTAGGGTTTGCAGAGGGTTTGGGGTTTAACGAGGGTTTAGGGTTTGGTGGGGGCTAGGGTTTGGCGAGGGTTTGGGGCTAGGGTTTAGAAAGTGATTAGGGTTTGGGGGATAGCTGAGAGCAGATTTCGCAAACCCTAAACCCTTGCAAACCCTAAACCCTTGCAAACCCTAAACCCTAGCAAGCCGTAAACCCTAGCAAGCCGTAAACCCTAGCAAACCCTAAACCCTAGCAAACCCCAAGACGTAGCAAACGCTAAACCCTCGAAAACCCTTAACTTTCGCAAGCCCTAAAACCCTTTTAAACCCTGAAGTCTAAACCCTAAACCCTAAACCCTTGTGCGTTCAGCGGGCGACCTAGGGTTTGAGTCTGCTGTCTGGGCCCCTAAACCCTTGCTCTCCCCAAACCCCAAAGGGATTTGTGGTTTGGGATTTGGGATTTGGGATTTGGGATTTGGGATTTGGGAACACGCAAGTCGCCCGCTGGATCCCAAACTCAGACGACAGACCCGGGGATTTGGGTAAACCCTTGCCCTCCCCAAACCCCAAACCCTAAACCCTAAACCCTAAACCCTAAACCCTAAACCCTTGTGCGTTCAGCGGGCGACCTAGGGTTTGAGTCTGCGGCTCGCTGCCAAGCCAGTGGTTTTGGGGCTTCTCGAGTTCGGCTTTTTGCAAACTCTTTTTTTTTCGAGGGTTTAGAACCTCCCGAGGGTTTTAGAGCTTTTTCAGAAAAAGATTACAGACTGCCCCTCCCCGAGGACCCCGGTGAGGGTTTAGGGTTTAGGGTTTAGGGTTTGGGGGTTGCGGGGTGAGGGGTGGGGGGCCGGGGTTCAGGGTTTGGGACTTGTAGGGTTTAGGGTTTGGGACTTGTGGGGTTTAGGGTTTGGGGCCTAGGGTTTAGGGTTTAGGGTTTTGGGTTTGTTTGATGACGTAGCTTGGGGTGATTTGCGGCGCCCATTTCAGTTGCTGAAAGGCCTAGGGTTTAGGGTTTAGGGTTTAGGGTTTAGGGTTTAGGGTTTAGGGTTTAGGGTTTGTGGCAGACGCAATATTTTGGCCGGAGGTCCGCGAGGGTTTGGTGCCCTCAGTCAGCAGCATCGATTTGCTGCCAGCAGCAAACCCTCGCGAGGGTTTACAGGCGGCTTACGTGATTGTGGCTGAGGCTTACAATGCAGCAGAAACCCCAGCAGCAGCAGCAGCAGCAGCAGCAGCAGCAGCAGCAGCAGCAGCCGGGCCAGCAGCAGCAGCAGACGGGGAAGAGGCGCCTGCCGCCGGAACCGCGTCTCCCGCAGCAGCAGCAGCAGCAGCAGCAGCAGCCCCAGCAGCAGCAGCCCCAGCAGCAGCAGCAGCAGCAGCCCCAGCAGCAGCAGCAGCAGCAGCAGCAGCAGCAGCAGCACAGGAAGACACGTTTACTTTGATGTGCAGCTTTTTGAAAAGTGCAATTCCAATTGCTGTTGGAGAAACAGCAAAAGGAGTTTTGAAAAAAGATGAAGAAAGGGTTTTCGTTTTTACTCTCACAGACCCTGACAAAGATGTTCTTCTTTACCTCGACAGTAAGCTGCTGCTGCTGCTGCTGCTGCTGCTGCTGCTGCTGTTGCTGCTGATAATGCTGTTGCTGCAGGTGATAATGCTGCTGCTGCTGCTGCTGTTGCTGCTGATAATGCTGTTGCTGCAGGTGATAATGCTGCTGCTGCTGCTGCTGCTGCTGCTGCTGCTGCTGGTGATAATGCTGTTGCTGCTGGTGATAATGCTGCTGCTGCTGCTGCTGCTGCTGCTGGTGATAATGCTGTTGCTGCTGGTGATAATGCTGCTGGTGCTGGTGGTGACGCTGCTGCTGCTGGTTATAGTGCTGCTGCTGTTGGGGACAATGCTGCTGCTGCTGCTGGTGATAGTGCTGCTGCTGCTGCTGGTGATGCTGCTTCTGGTGATGCTGCTGCTGGTGCTGCTGCTGCTGTTGCTGCTGCTGCTGTTGCTGCTGCTGAGGATGCTGCAGTTGCTGCTGTTGCTGCTGCTGAAAATGATTTTGCTGCAGCTGATGATGGTAATACTGCAGATGAGGGAAGGGTGCTGCTGCTCTTGCTGCTGTTGCTGCTGCAGTTTCTTTTTGCTGTTGCTGCTGCTGTTGCTGCTGCTGGGGCCTTGCTGACTTCTAGCCGCAGCGCCTGCCGCAGCCGTTGCTGCTGCAGCTGCTGCAGCTGCTGCAGTTGCTGCTGCTGACGTTTTCCGTGCTGCTGCTGCTGCACTTGCTGCGCCTATCACTGCCCGTGCTGCTGCTGGCGTTTCCCTGCTGCTGCTGCCGCAGTAGCTGTGGCGTCCCTGCTGCTGCTGCTGCTGCGCTGCTGCTGCTGCTGCTGCTGCTGCTGCTGCTGCACGGGGCGGTGCGGGGCGTGGGGTGTACGTACAGCTGAAGGCGTGGGGGACGTGGACATTTACTTGGGAACTTCTCGAGAAATAAATCCGGAAATAAATTCTTCATTTTTATTTTATTCCAACGACAGAGGAAATGATTTGCTGCTGCTGCTGCACAGCCACCCGCGCTTCCGCCGGCGCTGCAGCAGCAGCACAGTGGCGGTGCAGGGCAGCTGCGTCTTCTACGTGCTGCTGACAGCAGCAGCAGCAGCAGCAGCAGCAGCAAACCCTTTCGCGCTGACCCTCTCCCTCCAAACCCTCAAACCCTCCTTCCTCGCGCTAAACCACCCCGTGGCCCAAACCCTAAACCCTCGAGTCCCCGCCACTTTCCTCTTCACTGACCTCAACCCGGACTACGACTACAGACTCACGCGTGAGGGTTTAGGGTTTAGGGTTTAGGGTTTAGGGTTTAGGGTTTAGGGTTTAGGGTCTAGGGGCCTTCCGGAGGTGTTTTGGGTGTGCTGGGCTCTGTACGCAGCAAGAACCAAATCGGGGAGTGGACTGCGGGTTTAGGGTCTAGGGTTTAGGGTTTAGGGTTTAGGGTTTAGGGGGTGCTTTGCTTGCGCTGAGCTTCCTAAAAGGGCCAAGCTGCTGGCCAAGGGTTTAGGGTTTAGGGTTTAGGGTTTAGGGTTTAGGGCTTCGAGTTGCGGCCCCCTTTCAACTCGCCAGCCCTCGAGAGCGCTCCTACCCATCCTTTGCGCCCCACGCTTTAGGCTTCAGGCTTTAGGCTTTAGGGTTTAGGGTTTAGGGTTTAGGGTTTAGGGTTTAGGGCGAGGTTGAGGGTTGAGGGTTGAGGGTTGAGGGTTTAGGGTTTAGGGTGTAGGGTTCAGGGCGAGGTGCAGGCTTTAGGGTTTAGGGTTGAGGGTTTAGGGTTTAGGGTTTAGGGTTTAGGGTGTAGGGTTTAGGGTTTAGGGTTTAGGGTTTAGGGTTTAGGGTTTAGGGTAAGTGTTGCGTCAGTGAACGTGGAGTCTGGGGCGGACATGTTCGTGGCGCTGCAGAAGTTCTCGGAGTTGCAAAAAGAAAATCTTTTGAAAGAAGGAGCAGCAAATTGGTGGACTGAGGGTTTGCTGCAGCCTGAGGTGTACGTACAGCGCACGCAGCTGGCCCTCCGCAGCAGCGAGATCGGCTGCACCTTCCCCACACCAGCTGCAGCAGCAGCAGCAGCAGCAGCAGCAGCAGCAGCAGCAGCAGCGGAGGAGGAGGAGGAGGAGGCTAAGGGAGCGGAACCAGCAGCAGCAGCAGCAGCAGCAGGAGGGTCCGCGGAAAGACCAGCAGCAGCAGCAGCAGCAGCAGGAGGGTCCGCGGAAAGACCAGCAGCAGCAGCAGCAGCAGCAGCAGCAGCAGCAGCAGCAGCAGCGGGGAAGGGCGTGTCGGGTTCGCAGTGCGTGCTGCGGGTGGAAGTGAGTTCTGTGTCCGGGGGCCCCGCTTTGCTGCTGCTGCAGGGGGGCCCCTGGGGTGCTGCTGCTGCTGCTGCTGCTGCTTCGGGGGCCCCGCAGCGGGGGCTGCTGGGGCGGCTGCTGCAGTTCTTCGAGCTGTACGTACACCCCGAGACTGCAGCAAACGACCCCCACGCGCTGCTGCTGCTCGCCTTCGACTTTGCTGCTGCATGCAGCCCCTTTTTGACCATTTCTTGGCCAGATGGATTTGCAAAAACTTGGAAAAGTCCCAACAACAAACGCATCCGCATCCGCAAGGCCGACAGGCCCTGGACCCCAGGCAGCTTCGTCTTCGTGGTCAGCCACCGCTGCTGCTGCTGCTGCTGCAGCAGCGCTGCTGTGCTGCTGCTGCTGCTGTGCTGCTGCTGCTGCTGCTGTGCTGCTGCTGATGCTGATGCTGATGCTGCAGTGCTGCTGCTGATGCTGCAGTGCTGCTGCTGCTGCTGCTGCTGCAGTGCTGCTGCTGCTGCTGCTGCTGCTGCTGCAGTGCTGCTGCTGCTGCAGTGCTGCTGCTGCTGCAGCAGCATGTTTTTTACTAGAATAAATATCCAGTAATTAAATGGTTTATTTAATGCATATTTAATAAGCCGCTATGAACAAATAAAAACCGCAAAACGGCGCAAGCGCCCGCGTTCGCGCGCTGCTGCTGCAGCAGCAGCAGCAGCAGCAGCAGCAGCAGCAGCAGCAGCAGGAGTGCGTTTGCGCAGGTGGGGGACCCGGGAATGGAAGAAGGAGCTGTTTGTGGTTTTGAACTGACAGCAACAATTGTGTCTTCTGAAGAAGAAGCAGCAGCAGTTAAAGTTTTGAAAAGTGGGGCCCCACAGTTGGGGCGGATTCGGGGGGGTGTGGGGCAGCACTTCCTGTGGACGTACACTCGGGGCGCTGCTGCTGCTGCTGCTGCTGCTGCTGCAGCGCCCGCGCTGCAGGCCGCAGCAGCAGGCAGCAGCAGCAGCAGCAGCAGCAGCAGCAGCAGCAGCGAGGACATGGTGGTGGTGAAAGTCACTGCTTTGAGACACTCTGTTGATGCTTTTGCGCAAAGAATAAACCCTAAAACTTTTCCTCCTTTTCAAAACCCTCGAGGAACAGCAGCAGAAAAAAACTTCTTCGTCTTCAAACCCTCGCCCGAAGACCCCAACACCCTCTTCCTCAGGCTCGGTCCGCGAGGGTTTAGGGTTTAGGGTTTAGGGTTTAGGGTTTAGGGTTTAGGGTTTAGGGTTTAGGGTTTGCGCGCAGGGCACGGCTGGGGCCCCACAGGGCTCGACTACGAAACTGCATGCAACCCCAGAAGCCTGTGGGAAGGTGGAAACCCTAATTTAGGGTTTAGGGCTTCGGAAGGGTCTTTGCAGTTCATTGACAGGTGCCAGTTGTTGATTTCCGTCTTCGATCGACACGGCGAAGGTAAACCCTAAACCCTAAACCCTAAACCCTAAACCCTAAAGAGCCAGACCCGAGGCCCGCGCTGGCCTCGAGCGAACTCCCTCGGAAAATCCGTAAACCCTAAACCCTAAACCCTTAATAGGCACACCCTAAACCCTAAACCCTAAACCCTAAACCCTAGTGTCCCAGGGAGCTAGCCACCCCAGCTAGCCACCAAATGGCCCAGCTAGCTATCAAATGGCCCAGCTAGCCAGCCAGCTAGCTGTCCAGGATCCCAGCTAGCCAGCCAGCTAGCTGTCAAATAGCCCAGCTAGCCATCAAGTAGCCCAGCTAGCCATCATCAAATGGCCCAGCTAGCTGCCCCAGCTAGCTACCCAGCTAGCCATCAAATAGCCCAGCATGCCATTGACTA